TGTGAGCCGGCAGGAGCCCAGTGGGGAACCCTGTAGAAAGTTGGCTTCAGCTTCCAAGCTGTGGTTTGGCACATGTCCTCTCCAAGACCTCTGCCAAATATTCAGCTTTCTTTTTAGTGTTTTTTTTTTTCTTTTTCTTTTCATGTTGGCATTTTATTTAACTGTACCATGTGAGTTTAAGGCCATTAGTTTGATATATTTTGTCACCAGAATGGGCTATTTTGTGAGGAGTTCTTTGACGGAAGGTAAAAATATGAGGTGTATGTGGAAGGTGAACAAATTGCGTTGAGAGAAGGTTGTAGTAAAGGTAACATGAAGCAGTAATACTGGTATTAGATCTGGTTAGTCTATCTCTCCTGTATGGGAACTTAACATCACCTTTGTAGGCCAAGTTAAAGAGGAGACCTTTGGTTCTCACTGGCAAAGCATGGGAGAGGGGAGAAACGCGGGCACCCAACAAAACTTTCTGATCTTTCCCCAAACATGTTAAAAAGTAAGTTCTCCAGCAGCTGGGGTTGGTGAGCACAGGAGAGGAGTCTGGGGTGATCCTCCGGCACTTCCCTAAATTTTCCTTTCCGAGGGAGTCTGGGATTCCAGGACAAACCCTTTGCCCGGCCGAGCGCTGACTGCGGAGTTGCGTCAGCTGTGGCAGCATTGTTCTGGATCAGCCTGACCTCTTTTAAAAAAATACATATTTTTCCAACACTAATAAAAACCTTAGCTGAAGTTCTCTCCCTTTCTGGGTGTGTGCCTGAGCACTAAATTAAAAAAAAAAAAAAAAAAAATCCCAGATGTGAATCTATAAACCATCTGTTTAAAATAACTATTGTGCGGGACTATAATTAAAAGTTATTTATTACGAATCTTGGGATCCTATTATGGATTTTGACTGACTCCCAGGTTTCTGATTTAGCAAACACTTTATGTATTTATGAGCCATGTGTCTCTTCCGCACTTCTGGGTGCCAGAGTGCATGTCCTTTAAACACAAAGGAAAAAAAAATCCCCTACCCTCCCGTAACTGTTGGCTTCTGAATGTTGCCGTCTAAGAAGTTTTCTCTTAAGGACAGCAAAAATCAAAGTATCTGAGAGCTTTCAACAACTCCAGAGACACTGTAGACAACACAGATGGAGGTTTGGTAATACAGCTCTCCCGCATACAGCTACTTAGCAACTTTTAAAATGTATGGTTGGGACAAGTAATGAAATGTTATGATTACTGGGTGTAGGAGGGGACGTATTTGGAAGGAAAGGATTTGTTGCTGAAGTCCATTTGTTCTTGCCCTCTGCTTTGCCCTTGTGAAACGAGAGGGAAGGAGGCAGCAAAATTGAATGAAGCAGACGGACAGTAGACATTAAGCGCAGTGTTTTGGATGACAGGGTGAAGGGGGGGAAAAAAAAAGCTCCTGGTGACAACTGCTCTTTGTTTTATCTTCGTGCTTTTACACCCAGTGGGCCTAGGAGATCTGCCCTGGATAATGCCTGACTGCAATAGACTAAACAATGATTTACCAGCCCTGTTTTATCTGCTGCTGTCCTATGATTGATCAGCACGGTACATTAACCCTTTCCTCCACATCTGCTGGCCTAGTTTTCCACAAGATGCAGCACTGAGATAAAATGAGAGGATTTTCAGGAAGAGTTTCAGGATTAAATCCAGTCCTAGAAGAAGCAAGAGGTGCTCGGCTGCGGTTCTCCGCAGCTCTCCTCTGTGTACTACAACAGGGATTTTGCTGTGAAGACTGCTCCGGGGCAGTATGCTGCAATTGTGGCTCTACTGTGTGTTTGTTCAGCAAAAAGCCCCAAAAGGAGCCGTGGGAGCTGCAGCCCTGCGCAGTGCCGTACCTCGCACCCTGGGAAAAGCAGCCCAGCCCTGATGTCACGGGGTTGGGCACCTCAGGGTGGCATCTGAAACAGCCACTTTCGGAGATGTCTGGGGCTTGCTTATAACACCAGCTAGAGAGGAGGAACATTAGCTTTGTAAATCCCACCCTGCTTAAGCGCTTAACTGCCCTTCTCATGCTGGCAAAGGTTGGCTCTATTTACCTGCGATACAGAAACCTGTCCCAGCAGGCAGGAGGGGATGTAGCTTCTCCTCCAAGGGACAGAGCTGATCTTGCTTTTTTCTTAAAGAAAAAAAAAAGGGGGGAGAGGGTGATGAGTGTGGCACTTTCTGGCCCACCTTTTAGGTCCATGCTGTAGCAACTCACCTTTTGAGATGGTGATCCTGGTTCGGTGACCTCCACATCCACAGGCAATTCATAGATTCATCTCCCGCTTTTCCCACAAGCATCCTCGCTGTTGGGATCGGTGGCTTTTGAGAGCACAAGGAACAAGCCGCTTTCTGCTGAAGCTGGGCCACTGAGCAGCAAGTACTTTAAAGTCTACTGGGATAAAGAAGCTGGGCCACTGAGCAGCAAGTAGTTCAAAGTCTACTGGGATAAAGAAAGCACTCCAAGGGGGGAGGACCCTTCAGTTCCTATCACTGCACTATGGGCCACTAATGTGCTTTACATGGAACAGCTCCTTAATGTAAACCAGCCCTTGGCACCAGGACATGAACTCCAAAATCTTCCCTCTTGGAAAAGCTCCCAGCCACTAGGCTCTACAGCCCAGCTCAGTTTTGCTTTCTCTTTCCAGTTACTTCCATCCTCACCTGTAACAAAGGTCCTGAGTTTGGAGTTGAGCCACCAGTGTTGTTGGTGATAAGGGAAGAAGAGTAAGATCCAAATTTGGCTGCCCCTGTGGGTTGCCTCAATGGCACCAAACTCATCATTGGCAGAGAACATTCCTGATGTAAGTGATGTGGGCCAAACAGGAGGATTTTAGTTAGGAATGGTAACTAGCAAGTAGCTCCTGTTTGAAATATGTGTGTCAGGTGCATCTTGAGGATCCTTAGGGACTTTTTGTATTGCCTACAAGAAACAACCACATCTGGATGTGTCTGAGGGCAGAGGGAGGCAGCTGGTGCTCAGGAGAGAGGGTGAGAAGCTGCCTGGGAATCTGGGCTGCATGAGGCATTTGCCCCAGGATTCCCTTGGAAATCAGGGAACAAGAAGAAATATGGAGCTGTGTTTTACTTCTCATCCCTCTCGCTGTTGTCCGCAATAATAATTTCTTCCTTTGAAGAGGGAGTCTGATGGGTACCTGCCTGCCAGACCCGCTGACTTGGGTCCTACCCAAGGTTGGCCCACAAAGGGCACGGTGCACCTCTCATCTTGTAGAGGTCTACGATGCATGCTGCAGCTGGGTAAACGATGTTCTCCAAAGGAACATACTCTAAGCTGGATTTTGCCCTTCTTTCAAACCTGCTTTCACCACGAAGAAGATTTTTCTCACAGATAAAGGTAACAGGGCTGCTAGGCTCATTAAATCTTCTCTTGAGCAAACTCATTAAAGAAAATCAGATCTTAGCAGAACCCTTTAAAATACAGACTGTGTGTAGTTGACTTGGTAAACTGCTGCCCTTCAACAGGCTTTAAGGAGACAAAGTCAGGGGGGCTCTATGGTCATGTCAAGGGAATCAGGATTTCACCCTGCGCTCTAAAAAGCTGTTGTTGAGCCAGTTGCACTGCTGCGCCGTGGCTGCTTCGTGCCAGTCCAGAGCCACAGACGTACCATAAATTCAGCTTAACTTGCCAGTTAAATTGCATTTATGGTTGGTCTGCAATGCTGGAGTGATGCAAAGCAGCCAGCACGTAGCAGTGACCTGGCTTTTTACAGTAGTCATTTGTGTCGCTGCAGCTGTGCTTTACAGCCTGATTCTCATTTGCTGATTTCACACTGTCTGTGAATAAGAGCGATTCCTCATTTACACTGATAAGGTTGAAGTGCCTTTATAACTCCCATCAGATCAGGCAGTGACTTTGAAGAAAATAAACCTCCAATTTTAGACAAAGGGCTGGAGTGTAATAAAAGCTGCATGTTATCCTTCACAGGCGTCTTGAATAAGGCCACAGGGAGCAAAAGAAAGACTGGAAATCACAGTTTCTTTTCCTTAAGTTTTATGATTTACATTTTTCTAGCCCTTTGATTTTTTGGGTCTCTAATTAAGTCATAAGATTGGGTAAGGTGGGTGCTTGTGTCTAGTAAATGGCCACCTGTGTCACTTTAATGAACTGAACTACTAATTATAGGTGGAGGTCACTTCAGAGAACTACTTTAAGTCAGGAATTTCAAGCAGCAAAATTTTATGGAAAGAAACCCCCAAAGTATTTGTTTTCTGTCCTTGTTTAAAGGCAGAGATAACCAAAAGGGTTAACACCACAGGGACAAGCCGGGCTATAAATGGAATATTTCTCCTGCACATCCTCTATTGATATTCCTTAATGTCATCGATGTGCTCTTTGGCCTTGGCCATTGCTGGCTTTTTGCCAGAGGAAGATGACACTATACTGTACAGTGATTCCACCTGCTTGTGTTTTTTCGTCAGTTCTCAGTATTTGGGGAGAAAGATGAATTACAGTAGCCTCTTTTCTAGTATAGCAGGCTCTTTTGGGGGACCTCTGGGTAGCTGGGTAATACCACTAGCTATAAATGACTTTCAGTAGTGGCAGAGTTTTGTTTTCTCTGAGGTTGCCACCTCTTCCTCAACTGTCTGTCCTTTTGTCACCATAAGAAACGATCCCTGAGCTGTGCAGTTCAAGGGGCAGCACCTCAAGACCCTGAGGATATTTTAACAAGAACATCACGTAACTAGTTGTTCATTTAAGTGAAGTGGATTTCTTTAGTTGGACACGTTTTCTGTACTATGATGTGTAGCAGTCATGAATTACTGTCTAAATGGAGTTTAAACACCATTTACTTGGGCTCCTGGATAATTCAGAGACTGTCTTCTACTGCGTTCCTTCAAGGGGAGAAAGGTGTTTTGAATTTCAGGGATCTCTCCTGAAGAAAGAGAGCAGATTGCTAGTCTCACTTTTTATTTCCGAGTTGCAAGAAATGGAGCCGTGGATTTGGTTTACTTGCAATAGCTTTTATCTTTTTTTTTTCCCCCCCCAGAATAAGGAAGTGACATGCAAGAGAGAGAAGTGTCCGATGCTCTCCAAGGACTGTGCTCTCGTCATTAAGCAGAGAGGAGCTTGCTGTGAGCGTTGCAAAGGTGCGGTTCCCTTCCTCTTGTTTGACTCTTTTTAAGAAGTTATCAGTTCAAATGTTTGTTGACAGAGACAGGCCAAAGTTGGAAGCTTCTCAGCTGGGACGTGGCTGTCACCAGAGGCTTGAAAAGGACAGTAACTACAATAAAATCAATATGTTTCCAAAGCTGGTGGAATGCATAAATTCACATATTCATCCTGTAATTATAGTTCTTGCACAACGACAATCCTTTAGAAATACATCTGCATTGTACTTCAGTGGTATGTTGTCAGTCTTTTGAGAGATACCTCCTGTTCTAACTTGATCTATCAGAAATACTTTAGGTCAAAATCAATCTGCTAGTAGTCACTGGTAAATAGGAATTCCTTAAACCTTTTGTGTAGTTGCACAGAATAGGAATAATGCCAATGAGTAACAAAGAGCAGAGTAATTATCCATGACTACTTTTATTTCTCCTCATACTAGAAACATAATAACCAAATTCTTTTCATTTTACTAAATATTTCCTGATTAAAAAAATAATATTGTGGACATTTTTATTAAAGCCCAAATAGGTAACAATCTAAACATTGTACATCTATTTATTGACCAACACTGTATCTTCTAAGCTCTTTAGAATGAGCTAATTGTCAAATATAAAAAATTAATAAATTAACTGTGTAAACATGCATGGCATGTAACTATCATGCTTATCCACATAAAAAATGTGCAAGTAGATGAGGTTGAAAACTAGTCTTTTTTTGTATTGATGCAGTAAGTAATATGCTTTAAAACACTAATTTTATTGACGGACTGCTGACGCAGTCAGTGAGGTTGGATTTGTTGGAGGTTGGATTTGGAGGGCTTTTTCTTTATTTTTTCTCTGTTTAATTCCCCAGTGGTGATAGAGTGGCTTTGGGAAGGAGATAGTGTAGAATAAATTGTTGGGAAATGCAAGCATTTATTGCCTTCCCAGAGCAAATAAAAATGCAGGAAAACAGGTTATACTGAAATTCAGATGGAAGAGACATATGACAGATGTGTGTTCTTCCTGGATGGTTGCAGAGCTGTGTTAGCTGCTGTGATCATGATTTGCTTCTGTGGTGCAACTTTGGAATTGGCTTGGCAAGCCCAGAGGATTTGTCTAAAAGCCTGACACTTAAAAGAAAAGGAAATGAAGTGTGTGTGTGTGGAAATTAAAGCATTACTGAAATAGTAAGAATTTGTAGTTGCAAATTTTACATAAAATAAATGTAATTTATTTATTTTGTCAAATTATGTTTAGTGTCAGCTTTGTAGCAAAAGATTCCTAAACATTGGTTTGATTAGGCTGGAGATTGATTCTCCATTTCAATAAAGGAATGCGTGGTTGGTCAATTGCATGAAAATTTTATATACATACATATGTGCACGTATGCATACAAAATGATTCTACAATAAAGAAGATTAATGTTTCAAAGCTGAGAGTACAGATATTAGTGTGTATGGGCTATTATCATTAGATGGAAGTTTTAATTCAGACTCATTGTAAGATATTCTATTTATCCTGAATTGGGGTGAGTTCCTGTAGAACATTATTAATAGACTTGAGCCTGGCATCTGCAGATTGGTGTGCCTGACATCTTTAACAGGAAAATTAATAGAAACTATTCAAAAATAGAATTAGGAGGCACGTGGATACTTGCAATATAAGAGGGGAGAGTTATGTCTTATAAAAATGCTAGTCATTTGAATTTATCAGAAATATATAGACAGAGATGTTGTCTTCCTGGATTTCTAATAGGCATCCAACAAGATCCCTCACCAAAACCTACTAAGGAAACTAAGCATTTGTAGAGAAACTTTTCTCATCAGTGAATAACTAACAGGTGGTGATAATGAATGGTTATTTTCATAATGGAAAAAGGTTGCCAGCAGATCCTTGCAAAGATCTCAACTTGTCAAAGTCCTCAAAAATGATCTAGAAAAGGGATGAAGAGGGACACAAAATTTGCTGCCGATGTCCTGACCTCTATAGCACAGTAAAGGCGGAGGGCTGCCTGTGAGGAGCTGCCGAAGGTTCTTGGGACACTGAACAACTGATGACAAAATGGCAAAGGAAGTTAATGTGGATGAGAATAAATGGGTGCACACAGGGCAACACAGTCCTACCTGTACAAATATAATTCTGGGCTCTGAGTTGACAATTATGTATTAACACCTGTTTCTTGGTTTTATATAAGATGGTTCTGTAGCAGGATCAGCTCAACCTTCAGTAGCTGTCCAAAGGGAAAAGTGAATTTTGGCTAGAAAGACATTTGGTCTGATCCAAGATGGTAACTCCTGTGTGCTTAAGATGCAAGAATAGCTTTAAATTTCAGAATTAAAAGAAAAAAACAAGGCTCTTGAGGGCTTAATTTTCAAAGTAAACGTGAAATTTCTGAATAAGTTTTTCTGCTCTTTCTGAAAGGTAAAGCTAACTATGCACCTGTCTAACTACAGCAGTCCTGACACCACACATTGTCACCAGGTTGTTCAGGTGTCATCAGGAGGATGATGGAGCCACCTCTACCCCCGTGGAGGCTGCTTGCTCTCCTGCTGCTCTGAATGCTGCCGAAGCTCCTGCTCTGTTCTGTGCAAAACCCAGAACGAGTGTCCTGTGCAGAATATGCGGGGAATCAAGGGTGCAAACACTGGCTGTGTAGCAATTCAGCTACTCCCTTTGGTGTCCCAGCAGCTCCCCAGCACTCCCCATGCAGGGCTCAGCTGCAGCCGGGACTTGGCCCTGCAGCGCTTGTTCTCAGTTACTCTTTTGTCAAGCTGCCAGAGTGCCCGTAGGGAATGCAAGCAGGAAAAGGGAAACAGGAATTTTTTTTTTTTTCTTTTTTTTTAAAACTGGTTGCATTTCATCTAAACCCGAACAAAATGTTATGAAGAAAAGCCATCAGAACCTGATGGCTTTTTTCTTGGCTTCATTCCCAAAGCCTAGAAAATCTTAATCAGGCCTTACGGGCTCTTGCCAGCTCTCTTTGATAGCTTCACGTCTTCCTACCTTGTGAAGGAATGAATGAATGAATGGCTTCTGTCATCTGAATACAACGTCAGGAGGATAACATCAAGACCAAAGGGTATGTTTCCAGAATTGGCTTGTGTAGGAAGGAAACCACCACTCAGGAGTCATTTGTGACATTGCTGCCAGGGTATTTTACTCTGAGGGGTGCATGAGGACGGGGTATGTAGGCCCTGTATCTCTAACAGCAAAGTAGTAGTCTGAAATGAAGAAATACTATATGCCTGCAACAGTGCATCCAGCTGAACTCCTGTGTTTAGAGCTCTGCACACAGGAGAAACTGAATTGTTGGTAAAGAATTTGTCCTGCACATGGTTCTGTGCTGAGCACAACTCCCTTACTTCCATTTGGGTATTTGTATGCTACTTAGATAATTTCTAGCCCTTGAAAAATTTTTTCTTAATAAACAAAAAATTAAGAAACAGCAGCAAGTATAGCTTTTGCAATCAGAAAATTTGCTGTGGTGGAAGCAACATGTTATCCCTAACACATTACAAGATTTTGCTTTACTTAAGATTTTAATCCTCCAGACTATCAATGTGTTTTAACACAGTTAAAGTCAGTGGGGCAAGACTCTCTTTCGCTGTGTCTTTGTGCAAAGTCTGGAATGGAGAAATGTGCGCCCATGGTTATGGCTTCCTACAACAACTAAGTATAATAGTGAAAACTTTCAGTGAGATTATTCTTCTGACAGATACATACTGTAGTTTATAAAACTTACTACATACCTCTAGCATATTATTAATTTTGATGATATTAAAAAATTAAGCCCCCCTTATTACTTTAGCATAGGATAAATAAGCTACTTTTAGTCGCTCATTTTATTTAATATGTTTAATGAAAACATATGAGATCACTGAGATTATAGAAATAGATTTGGCAACATTTTCTTATTTAGTTGGATGGAGACCTGTCACTTGGATATAGAGGTCTCTACACCTCGAATAATAAGTTATTTGCTCTCTGAAGAAGTGTTATTACCAGCTCAGAGCTGCATAAAGTTTGCATTTCTAAAATTGTGCACCATATTCTACTCGCTTAGCCTGAGAATCTGAATCTTCTATGGATGTGTAAAGACAAGATTGGTGGGTATCTGTTACAACAGATAAGATTTGTTCTGAAATTTCTTTCACTTCTGTGGTGGGTTGACCTTGGCTGGATGCTCTGTTACTCCCCTCCTCAGCTGGACAGGGGAGAGAAAATAAAACAAAAACTTGTGGGTCAAGATAAGGACAGGACAGATCACTCGCCAGTTACCATCATGGGCAAAACAGGCTCAACTTGAGGAAAATTAATTTAATTTATTACCTATCAAATCAGAGTAGGATAACAAGAAATAAAACCAAATCCTAAAACACCTTACCCCCACCCCTCCCTTCTTCCCAGGCTCAGCTTCACTCTCGATTTCTGTGCCTCCTCCCCCATAGCAGCAGAGGGGGACAGGGAATGGGGGTTGTGGTCAGTTCATCACACGTTGTCTCTGCTGCTCCTTCCTCCTCAGGGGGAGGACTCCTCACACTCTTCCCCTGCTCCAATGTGGGGTCCCTCCCACAGGAGACAGTCCTCCATGAACTTCTCCAGCGTGAGTCCTTCCCACAGGCTGCAGTTCTTCAGGAACTGCTCCAGCCTGGGTCCCTTCCACAGGTACCGTCCTTCAGGAACAGACTGCTCCAGCCTGGGTCCCCCGTGGGGTTCACAAGTCCTGCCAGCAAACATGCTCCAGCCTGGGCTCCTCTCTCCATGGGGCCACAGGTCCTGCCAGGGGCCTGCTCCAGCACAGGCTTCCCACGGGGTCACGGCCTCCTTCGGGCATCGTCCTGCTCTGGCGTGGGGTCCTCCCCGGGCTGCAGGTGGAGAACTGCTCCACTGTGGAGCTCCACGGCTGCAGGCCACAGCCTGCCTCACCATGGTCTTCATCATGGGCTGCAGGGGAATCTCTGCTCTGGTGCCTGGAGCCCCTCCTGCCCCTCCTTCTG